AGACGCAATTATAAAAGAAGGCACTGTAACCGACAAAACAAAACCTGCATTGTGAATTTTAATTCTATTAGAGATGCTAACATCAATACATGATTTTGGGTGATACAGTATTCAAGTTATTTACGAGGTCATAGTGACTAGAGATGTTCCAAGAGCATCAGTCAAGGTATTCTAATTTGAAACATGTCGGATAAAATATCCACCATCCTTTGCTGAGCAAATTCATGAAAAAATTTAAAATATGAACAAAAGTTGCAATTCCCTGATTTTAGTAAACTAATACCTTTTCATACTAGACCTTGTGACTAATGCTTTCAAATCTCTGCTGTTTACGGAATCTGTAATCAGGTTACATTGCAAATTAAAATTAGATATCTTAACTTACCATACAACCTTAGAATTCAGGAAACCCATTGTTTCGAAAGCTTCATCTCTAAATTACCTTTTATTTTGATTCATTTTATCGAATTAATGGAAAACATCATTTGAAACACCCTTCATGATTCCAGACTCATCTCCTTTCTCTAAATTTTGGAACCCATCAAGCCTAAAAAATTAGACCTTTATAAAAATAAATTTTCTAGAAAACAAAATGTCACATTAGCACATTATAAATACATATCCAGATTCAGATTAGGTTACAGATGATTAACCTAGAAACTTTTCCATATCTCATCAACCATAAAATCCTCTAAAGTGTATTCCGATTCCTTCTCCATGAATCTTTACATACTCCATCAAATCTTATATCATCAACCCATAATATAAAAGAAATAGAGAGAAGGAGAGAGGGAGAGATTAAGATTCTGTGTGTGTGTGACTGAGATAGTGAGAGAGAGATGAGTTGGGTTACCTTGGGATGGTGGTCGGAGATGATGGAGAAAGATGGGATTGGCAGCGGAGTGGCTAAGAGAGATAAAATCCCTTTTGCTTATTTCTTGTCTAAGATTTTTCTTTAATCGAATCCATTCAATTTACAGGGAAAATATTTGGAGGTAATGGGTGATAGTTGTGAAAAAAATGGGCGGGAAAGATGAAATAATGAAAATTGCATTTAATTATTGAATTTGGTGGCCATTCCATTTCATTGCCACTAAAAGAGCACCTTTTCCTGGAAAATATCGATCTACCGCTAATATCTCAATTTTAGGAATTACTATATCGGCAATAAATAGTCGGTAAAAGCCATTTTTGCCCATTTTTGCCATGGTGTGTTTACCTAAAAGCGCTCTAATTCAATTCTAAGTCATACCCTATGCATGTACTACCCATTCCATGCCTATGGTCCAGGAGGTTTTGGACCTCTATTTGGGTGGTTCTAGACTTTATTTAGGTTACTCAGAAATGTCAAAACTAGGCGACATACAAAAATACATTGGACTTCAAATATGGGCAGTCAAGAGCTCAAGTTTGCCTCCACACTTGAGCAACAAATGCACGCAAGATAAATTTTCATGTTAGGCAATTCAGAATTAAGAACCTTAAGCCATATAGATATGATTTCTATGTGACAATGCATCAAAGCATATAAGTTGTTTCAGAGGCTGGGCGCTGCTCACAGACAGAATTATATACGCTGATTATTGAGATTACAGGTTTCCAGTTATTAAACCTGTTGTGTCTAGGTGACTCGTGCAGTAAGAATAATGACAAAAATCATTGGGAGGAGCCCAAAATTACTTATGCTTGCTGACAGCGGCAGGAACAAATAGTAAACGGTATTTTAGAGGTCCATGATTAACAGAACGAGTAATTATACCCTATAGGCAGGATCTCTAACAGTTGATGCTTGGAACTCATTTTATTGTTGTACTTAGTCCTATAGGCATAATTTCTAGTGAATAGTGAGATACAATAGCAAATGAAATGATCAAAATCCTATAGGCATGATTCTAGTGATCAGTGTGATACAATTGCGAATGAAGTGATCAAAATCCTATATGCATGATTTGAAGTAAATTGAAAGAAAGTTCATTGGTATTTGTTCCTATAGGTAGATTTTCTAGTAACACGTAGTAGTAAGAATAATTGCAGCATTTGAATTCATATTTACTAGTAGACAGTGTGTGTGTGCGCTTCCCCTAATGACATGATTTCTATGATGCACATAGTGATTGAATAGCAAGTAAATCACGAAGTCCTATAGGCATGTTGTCTACCCTTTTTATACAAACATTAAGAATCTACTCATTCCTCATTTTACTAACACCCCATTGTTCATTATAAAATTATTACAGGCCCAATAATAAAGTAATTACAAATGTAGTATAAATAATGACAGTAGGCCCACAATAGGCCCAAAAGAAATACCCAACACTATCTGGGCCTTCAGCAATTCTCATGCAGCATACCCAGACTTCCAACAAGGAGCCATATTCACCAACGTAACCCAGAATCCATAGAAAAGCTCAAAGCCAAATCACACAACCATGTTGCCAAGCATTGAACCACTTAAACCCCAACACATAATAGGAAGAAAGGGTTGAGTGGGATAGTTCAAGTTTCAAGGAGTGACTAAGGACCCAAATCCTAGTGTGTCAGAGTTCACAAGGGTCTCAAATGGACCCCGAACAGTGCTTACACTAGGGAGGTCAGTAGTAAGAGCCTTAGTGGCCTTGGCTTTCAGCCGGCTAAGAATGAGAATTTCAAAATAGCATATGTAACAAATGAGGAGAATGGACAATGGTTGAGGGATAGAAGTTGGGAATATACTTATAACCTAAAGTAGACATAGCCAAGTCGAGCATACAGAGCAGCTAATCAAACATGTCACATGACTTAAAAGCAGATTCAGTAGGATTTCGACACTTAGCAAAGTAGCACATAACAGCCACATATTAAAAGAGTTAGGGGAGAAACAAGTTTGCAAGAGGTTATCATGCATAGGTACACAATACTAAATAAGTTGAAACCCTAAGAGGTCCAAATTATGCTAATTATACATCCTATTGTCATAAGACAGGCATGTTAACTCTCATCGGGAAGGAAAACTGTATTGAGACATGATAGGGAGCACACATTGTGACAAGCCAAATAATCATTGAAGGAACAAGGAATTAGGTAAGCCAAAGACATACTGAGGGACATATTAATAGGGAAGCAAGATCATAGTTGATAAAGAAAAGGTCTTAACACAGGTTAAAACACATGATATATGCAAGACAAATATTACAGAGATTCAGAACAGAGTGAAAAAGTAAGCTCATATAAAACAACACATGTAGGTATTCTAGCATTGACACAGTAGACTAATTACCTAAAGAAGGTCCAGATTATGTTAGAGATTCACCCTAATATCGTGAGACAGTTCAAACAAATTAAGATGACTGTTCCAAAACTCAAACAGTTAGTAAAAGGGGTATGAGATCAAATGAGCATGCTGAGTGACAAAATAGTAGAAAATCGTCATAATTAACACATGAAGTTCTAACACAAGTGTGAAGCGTTCATTACAGAGATTCAGGACAAAGAAAGTAAGCATATTTATTAACATTCAGGAACTAATACATTAGTTAAACAAGCTTAGGAGGTTCAGATTATCCTAGTTAAACTTAGACAATCTCAGAACTAGTAGCATTATGAGAAGTTAAATGCTAAAGTAACTTAAAACAAAGCAGAGTTGACAGAAAAGTAACCAAAAACACATTAGGCCATGGGTTTCAACATGAAAATCAAAGACACATAAGTATGAAATTGCAAAAGTCAAGTGGCTTACCAGTTAAACGGGCAATAATAAAGAACAAAATATCCACAAGAACCCAGAACCTTAATGCGCCAAAATTCCCAAGAGCTTCAAAAGAACCCCGGGCAATGCTCGCACGAAGAGAAAGTTCGAACAGTAGACTCTCAGTGGCCTTAGCTTTCAGCCGGCCAAAACAAAGTATAGAATAAGATAATGAAGGAATAATAGAACAAAGCTTCAAATTTTTAGTGAGATTATCGATTAAAAGTCCAATCTCAAAGGGGAATGGGGAGGGGTTTATATAGTGACAGAAATCAAACAAGTAAACAAGGAAAACTATAAAAATCAAACATAAATAAGAAAGTATTAACATGCAGAATCAATAGAAAATTGGATTAGGGAAAAATAGGTAAACCATAGTTGACCGAAATCAAAGATTGACCAAAAATCTTGCTAATCGAACCCAATATAGCCTGGCCATGATGCATATGGACGAGATATCGTCCAGATTTAGATGATTGACATTGGATGAGTTAGAATCTGAGAGGTAGTACTTGCCATATTTAGGCAAGTACTAAGTGATACCATGAAGAAATACCCAGTAGCGGAGGAACACTAATATAGTAAGTAAATAATGGGAGAATCCCATTGTTAACGGGATTAGAAAGGGGGATTGGTGAAGGGCGATGATTAGGGTTCTTCAGAGAGAGGCGAGACAGAGAGAGTTTAGAGGCAGCGTCTCAAGAGAAATGGGGTTAGGGTTTCTGGGTTGGGATTAATTAAAAGAGAAGAATGAACGAGGGTCGTTGATCTTGAGAGATCAACGGCCAGGATTAAAAATAAATGGGACGGGTCAATTAGAACGAGTACCTACCGGGTTTTAGTTTAAGGTTTGTTTGATTTGGGCTTGGGTTATTGGGCTAAGGTACTGGGCCAATTTGGTCCGAAAGAATCACTCAAAATTGGGCCAGCCTTTTAAACACATATAATTTAGCAAAAAAATTTATAAAAATAATTATTAGATGAGTAAAAAATATTTTTATGCACTAAAATGATTAAGAATAATGATTTAATATTATAAAAATATAAAATGCTATTTTTGACACAAATAGTATAAATAAGGAGCATTTGTATATGAATATAGGCTATTATTGCAAAATTAGATAAATAGCTTAAAGAATGATAATGAAATTATACGAAATAAAATAAAATATTTGAAACATATATTATAGGTGTAAATAATAACTTTAGGTAACTAAGTCATCACAAAAATAATTTGAAGGAGTAACTAATAATTATTCAAGTAATTTAAATGCAGGAAAATCAATTTAAAAGCTCTAAAATTACGGAAAATTGATATTTTGAAAGCACACACACACACACACACACACACACATATATATATATATATATATTTGTTTTTTAAAAATATGAGGACAACATTAGGTATCAACAAAGCTTATATCTGGTCGTGTAATTATTAAGTATAAGAGTTTGCCAATCAACTGGTAGTACATTGTGATGTCTGCTAACTTTGGATCACCTGATTTCCCCACATAAGAGTCATAATCTACAATGGTCAGTCTCTGATTAAGTTCCAGAGGTGTAGTAACATGCTTAGACCCACTCAGTCCAACTTGTGAAATCAATTGCAGGGTATGTTTTCTTTGATTAAGTAAGATTCCCCTTTTTGATCTCATCACTTATATTCCAATAGAGTATCTCAACTCTCCCAGATCTTTAACTTTAAACTGATTATGCAAAGTCATTTTTTCATCTTGCACCGATGAAGAATTACTTCCAATGATGAGTAAATCATCAACATAGATGAGGATAATTACCATCTCAGTCCCTTGTTTCTTGGTGAAAAGAGAATGATCAAAAGCACTTTGTTCATATCCACTATTAAGCAAGGTTCAGTTTGATTAATATTTCATTGTCGTGAGGCTTGTTTAAGCCCATAAAGTGATTTCAAAAGCTTACACACTTTCTTCTCCCCCTATATGTGAAATCATTATGGCAAACTCATATATACCTCTTCATATACGTCACCTTGTAGGAAGGCATTGTTAACATCCATCTGGAATAGCGGTTATGTTAATGATTGTCCTTATTGTGACCATTTTAGCCACATGTGAGAATATGTCATGATAGTCAAGTCCTTCCTTTTAGGTGTATCCTTTAGCAACTAGCCTTGCTTTGAATCTCTCTACTTCTCCATTTGCTCTATATTTAATTTTATACACTCATTTGGATCCAATAGCTTGTTTCCCTACTGGTATATCTACTATCTCCCAATTATGGTTATCTTCTAAAGCCTGTATTTCTTATTGCATAGCCTCAATCCACTCGTTGTCTTGAGAAGCTTCCTTAAAAGAGCTAGTTTCAATACAAGTTGAAAAGGCCATCAAATAAGATGGATATCCAACTATGAGACTAGCATAAGACAAACCATTGGACAATGGATATGAACACTTCCTAGT